CGCAGCGTGAAGTTTTGTTTTGCTCAACGCCCACCGAACGCCCTTTGATACAAGAATTGTTTACTACTAGATACGAGGATTTGGACGCTGGATTCAATGAAAAGGACTATGCAACAGCATCTAAAGAAGGAGACAGCATTGAAAATCTGCAGTTAAGCGAAACGCGAGCTAACGAGATCGATTTGGAGAGAAAAAGGGTAACTTTGTTCAACTCCTGCGCTGGACTCATGGGAAATTTGACAAAGATACGTAACAGGCTTATGGATTTGATAAAAGAAGATGGAGCTCGGGAAGATGTATTGAACAGATGTCGTCAGTTTGATGAAGCTTGGCATAAGTTTGTGAATGTTCATGAAAATTATTTACAGTCGTTGAGAGAATATTATGGTGGGGACGCCTGTTTGTTAGATAAGGCTGTAAAAAGTTATGATGAACAAATGGACCGAAAACTTAATCTTGATCTTTCTGTGAAGTTATAGCTGGAACAGAGTGAATCAGGGCGAGTAGGAATTCAAGGCAATCGTGGTGTAGTTTCGGAGAAAGTAAGCAAAGATGGGCGTAGTGTGGTTTCTAGATCAAGTGTCTCAAAAAAGGGAGAAACTAGCTCTAGCTCAGCTAAACCTTCACAGACTTAAACTTAAGCAATCATTGGATGAAGAAGAACGAGCTATTAGAGCAAAAAAGGAATTATTAGAAGCTGAAATGGAGGCAGAAAAGGCAGCTGTATCACTTAAAATTTATGAGGATGACCTGAATGGAAGGAAAACAGACATCGATGAAGATCTTTTACCCTATTTGTGCCCCTCTTAATAACAAGTTCCTAGCCAGAAAAGTGCAGCACAAACTAGTGAGACCAATGTGCAACAAAGAACCCAATCAAGTTTATCTGTGACAAACCCAGCAAGCAAGAGTACTAGCCACTCCTTGCCCCCTCTTCCCTCATTCATGCCATCATTCTTTCCTACATGTTCTTGGGGAGGTAATGCAATGATTGAACAGTCAAGAGATTCAGTGAGTGCAAGTCAAACTTCTTCCATTAATGTTGCAAATGGAACTTCATGTAAGCCTACACAGACGGCGACTAGTCAGTGTGTTAAAGAATCTTGGTCTCCAAACTGGAAGAGTCCACTGGCCCATACCTTGCAAAGTGCTCAGCACCAGCCGACAGAGACTCAGCAAAATGACGATGGTTTGAAATTGGTTAGAGGATTAAAACAGGTTGTGGTAATGCCCAAGGTAGAGTATCAGCACTTTGACGGTGACCCACTGAAGTATGTCACCTTTTTTCACAACTTTGAGACATATTTGGAGAAGGATACTCCTGATAACTCCAGGAGATTACAATTTCTCATCCAGCACTGCCTGGTAAAGCAAGGGATGCGATTGAAAGCTGCTTCAACTTGCCTGCTAGTGAGGGTTACCGAGTAGCAAAGGAAACATTGCGTGACAACTTTGGAAAGCCACCCATAATTGCAGGGGCCCGTATAAAGAAGCTGCTGAATTTACCTAACCTTAAGAATGCAGATGGAGCGTCTCTGTTGGAATTTGGAAGACAATTGGATGCCGCAGACCGAACACTGACTGGAATGGGCATTGAATATGTAGCTGACCTCAACCATATGAACACATTGAGAGAACTTGCTAAGAAGCTGCCAATATTTGTTAGAGCAAAATGGACTGAATGCGCTGGGAAGATAATTGATTCAGGGCGTAGACCTAAGTTTCAGGACTTTGCTAGGTCCATAAAAGAAAGGGCGAAGTTGGTGGACAACGAGTTCGGGCAAGACATGAACAGTGTGTTTGCAAGAGAGACTAACATGCGGAAAAAGAAAGTGAATTCTGATGGAACTTCACCACAACTGCAAACATTCGCGACTGGAAGTGGTCTGAACAGTCGCGGTCAAAGTGGAACCTTAAATGCACAAATTGTTTGTCTTGTTTGCTCAGGGCAACACGAAGTTTGGAAGTGTGAACTTTTTAAAGGATTACCTCATGAAAAGAAAAGGAAGGTTGTACAACGAGGTGGACTATGTAACAAGTGTTTAGCAAAAGACACATTGCCAAGGATTGCCCAAAGGTGAATTTCAAGTGCCAACACTCTGGATGTGGAGGAGGTCACCACACCTTAATGCACCGAAACCCTGTGAGAACACAACGAGGAACTAGCAATGAATCAAATGTGAGATACCCAAGACAGTGAAATCAGAATGCTGGATCGAGAGATGTGAACCCCCAACAGCAGTTAAAACCAAGTGAAGCACCTGTTAGATCTCGGGGCCATTACTGGGGCCGGTAATGGAAACGGGGTAGCTGTGGCTGCTACTGGAGCGGGAGAAACGCGGGTATGTCTTGGAATTATACCAGTCAAAGTTCGAGGTAAAGGAGGTGGTAAAGTGATTGAAACATATGCCCTTCTTAACAATGGCTCTGAAGTCACTTTGTGCTATGAACGGCTAGTGAAGGAACTTGGGTTAGATGGTCAGAGATATGATTTCACTCTGACCGAAATGACAGGCTCTGAAAAGGTGGATAGTAAATTGGTGGATCTTGTGGTGAAATCGATTAATGATTCTGTAGAAGTGGAACTATGCAGTGTGAAAACAGTTGTCAATATACCAATTTCGACAAGTTGCATCGCAAAGAGAGAAGACCTCGTTCGCTGGCCTCATTTGCGCGGCATTGACATTCCCAGTATTGAACATGGGGAAGTTTGTGTTCTGATTGGTTTGAATGAAAGAGCAACACTTTTCCTCCCGCTTGAGTTAAAGACTGGTGGAGACAATGAGCCAATAGCCATACAGTATAATTTAGGTTGGACTGCGATGGGTCCAGTGGGTGACCAGAAAGAAGATCGGGATTGTGTAGTGAACTTTGTGTTTACGAAGGACGGTCATGTGACACAAGGAAACCTTCTGAGGGGTGTAGTTTCCAGGGAACGAATCAGTGAAGAAACAAAGAAGCTGAAGAAGGATAAGAATGAAACAGCGCAGCCGTTCGGGTCCGTAGAATGTGAGCCTCATTTCCATGTTAATGTTGTTCAAAGTGAAGACGATGATGTACCCACAGTTCACAATGAAACTTTGGACCGCCAACTTGAAAAGCTTTGGAAGACCGATTTCAGGGACTCAATCGTTGGGACAAGAACATTGCCATCTGTTGAGGACAATAAAGCTTTAACTAAGATAAAACAATCACTTCAAAGACGAGATGGACATTTTCAAGTTAGATTGCCGTGGTGAGAAGACCCACCGTACTTACCCAATAACAAAGTGATGGCAGAGCAGAGACTTGATCTTCTAAGAAAACGGTTAAGTAAAGACAAAGACCTGCATGAAAAATATTGTTCTGCAGTTCAAGACTACCTAACCAAGGGATATGCGGAGAAGGTGCCAGAGAATGAATTAGACACAAAGTAGCCCATGTGGTACCTACCCCACCACCCTGTAACGCAACCCGTGAAGCCTGGTAAAGTTAGAATTGTCTTTGATTGCGCTGCAAAGTATCATGGAATATCCTTGAATCAACAGTTGTTACAGGGTCCTGACTTAACAAATCCACTAGTAGGAGTGTTAACCAGGTTTCGGCAAGAAACAACTGCCATCGCAGCCGATATAGAAGGAATGTTCCATCAATTTTATGTCGACCCAAAGGACTTTGATGTGTTTAGACTTCTCTGGTGGCCAGATGGTCAACTCAATGAGCAGCCGCAAGTATACCGAATGGTAAGACGCTTGGTGCTACGTCCTTGCCAAGTGTTGCTAACTTCCGTCTAAAGAAGACTGCATCGATTTATGGGACAGAATTTGATCCTGATGTAGTCTGAACCGTTGAAAGGAACATGTATGTGGATGATCTGATGAAGTCTGTTGATACTCCCACGACAGCAGGACGGCTTTCGACACAGTTAAGAGACTTGCTGACAAAGGGAGGATTTAGATTGACCAAGAGGTTAAGTAACGATAGACGGGTACTAGCTGAAATCCCAGAAACTGAGAGAGCAGTCTGTAGCGAACCTTGACCTACAAGAATTGCCAACTGAGTGTGCTCTTGGATTGAAATGGGACGTAGAAGGGGACAAGTTTATTTGGAGGGCATCAGGAAGGCTTCAGCATCTTGTACAGAAAGGAGCGATGACGAGACGTGGGATCTTAGCAATTGTTAGCTCACTGTTTGATCCACTGGGCTTTATAGCTCCCTATAATATGAAGGCCAAACTACTGCTACAAGATATTAAGCTTGGACAGTCTGATTGATGATTGATTGGAATTGACTGCAGCAGTCATATCAGTAAAGCTAAGTCAGATTATACGTGAAGAGCTTGAAACCAAGATAGATCAAGTTAATTATTGGACTGATTCTATGACCGTGCTGAAATGCATCAATAACGACACGAAGCGCTTTCATGTGTTTGAGTCAAACCGCCTTACTATCATCCGAAGCACATTGTATCCCTCAGAGTGGAGATACGTTAGTCGAGATGACAATCCGGCAGACGATGCTTCAAAGAGTTTGAAGCTTGAAGAACTAACGAAGAATGGTCGGTGGCTGAATGGACCAGCCTTCCTGTGGAAAGAAGAGGCTAATAGACCGATTGCAAATATGGCGACGATTTCACCAAAGCGAGGCTTTTCGGTAGCAACTGTTGCTAGGGGCTGGTTCCTGTGTTTACCTGTGCCGTTGCTGGAAGCTGCAGCTTCTCAGGCGTCTTTTCCTTTAAATTCAACAAAAAATAAGTCAATTTTCTTCGCTGACAAAGGTTTCAATCTCGCATACACGCTTTGGATACTGTTTTTATATGCTAAATTGAACGATCAACTGACGCACAGCGATCACAGACAGAGTCATTTGTAGCGATCGCGATACTTTGACTGCCTGATATTTTACATTCATTGTATTAAGGTTCAAACGTAAGCTTAAATCGATTATCATTCTAAAAGCTGATCTTCAATTTTTAGAACTGGATTGCATGCCATTTTTGCTGTACGTTTATAAATAGTGCTATGCCTGATAGGTGTTACGTGCCTTTGTGCTGCAAGAGTAGTTATCGTGTATGCCTTCCATCGGATGCTGTAAGACTTAAGGTACTACCTTCAAAATTATCGTTCATTAAACCTATCGTTTCAGATTTCTGATATTTCTCGATACGACATATATTTCAGGAGTGGCTTGTGAAAATTCGACGAGACGTATCTCCAGCATTTCAGATAACCGAACGAACTAAAATCTGCTCCTCACATTTGAAGATAACTGATTTTCGTGTAACCTTAAATGGTCGTTGATATTTAAAGGACGATGCTATTCCCTCAATCTTTTCATGGTCGGCAGCATCCCTTAAGCGAACATCACCACGTAAGAGGTAACCAAGCCATTCCATAGCTCATGATCAGAAGCCATCCCGCATAAGTAAAAATGACCGCAAAATGATGTGGATCAAATCAGCGAGTTACATGCGCAAATTGCTCATCTTGAACAAGAAAAGAATATGCTCCAACTTCACAATAAACATCTTTTGAAAACTGTCGATGAACTTCTCTTAAACCAGTTTGGAATAACAAAATTTAGTATATACTAAAACAGTGGATAGTGTTTTTCGCACGCTCTGATTGGCTACTGATTGAATATCCTGCAATATTCACTGATTCACCTCCAGTTCCTCCGAGCGAGCGACGCCAAACTCGCGTAAGTTGCGAGCAAAATGCCTTCCCGGTTTGCTGCCGTAACAAACTAAGACATTTCACAAGTAATCAAGCAAGCTATTTCCGAAATACAAGAAGGTGACGAAGTTCGGTTTGGAAGTTTTAACAGGTAAAGCTTTGTCTTTATGACTTGAATTTATCGATAAAACCGGTGAAAAAGTTTTTTGTTTACAAATGCAAATTAAGCTTACGTCTTAGTTGACTTGTTGATAAATAAGCTTAAAACTTAAATTTAATAATCTTTTTTACATAATTATTTTAAATACAAAAAGAATTCACAACTCCTTTTGAAGAAACTTCTCCGCAAGAGCTAAACAAACGCCTTCAAAAGTTTTATTTGTCGCTAAGAAAAAGCGACGACTGCGGCCGTTCGGTCATCGCGCGCCAAAATTGTAATCGTTGGCAACAGTAAATGAGTTAAAAATCATCATTTTTGTGCTCAATTATCTCACTCTTTTAGTATATACTGAAACAATTATTCACCTCAGTGTCGGTGGCTAGTATTGGATATTTACCTCGCCGCTTCGCGGCCTCGGTAAATTTCCAATACTAGCCACCTCCACTTCGGTGAATAATTGTTATTTATGGATGAAGACTCGGACATCAACTTTTACACCAGCTTCCCAAATTATCTCACACTTCTGGCTTGCTACAGTTTCTTAAATCCAGGGGGAAATGGTGAGAACATTGTTTACATCACCAGTGCGTACGACGAGTTAGAGTTTCCAGTGTTTCCAACCAGTGAGATTAACCGGGGAAATAAACCCAGCAGACGTCGGAAACCAAGTACTCTGTTTTTTATCGTCCTTATCAGAATGAGGCTTGGATTATTTGAACTTGATTTGGCCCATAGGTTTAGGGTACATGTATCTAGAATTAACAGAATTTGCATATCCTGGATCAATTTTCTGTACTTAAAATTCGGTCACCTCAACATTTGGCCAGACAAAGAGACAATAGATAAAGCAATGCCCCAGTCTTTCAAGGATAAGTACCCCAAAACAAGGGTTATTGATGGGACAGAAATCAAATATCAAACCCCTTCCTCTTTAATTCTGCATAATGAAACTTTCTCTACGTACAAGAGTCATACGACATTTACATGTTTGATTGGCATTGCACCGAGTAGCCTGTTCCAGGCTCCGAGATGGTAGTGGAAAGTCGTTCAGTAAAAAGAAATGCGAAAAACGCGCGGGGGCTGGGGAGAGACAGGGCGGCGGAGCCTGTACGCGTTTTTTTAAAGGCCTGTTCCGGTATATCAGCTCCTGATATACCCTCTAATTGGTCAATTGTGACAGTTAACATCATCACCTAGTAGCGTGGTCATCAGTTTGTGATCACCAAGATGGCTAACACGAATCGCGTGTGTGATCTTCATGAATCCGCGTTGTCTTATGCTTTGGACGAGTGTCTGCGACTTGGCTTGCGGCAAAGATGGTTTCGGTATTACGCCTACCGATTTCGGAAAAAGTTTAATCTTTCAGCTATTCCCATGCTTGGCTAAAGCTGCTCTAACCCTAGAAAACTCTACGACAATAGTCGTTTGGCTGCTGATATCTATAATGTGAGACCAAGTGGAACAACTGAAAAAGCTTGGATTTTCGGCCGCAGCTATTTGGCATCGGTGAAGGGGGAGAGGAGGACGAGAAGAAAGCGAGAGAAGGAAAGTGCCAATCAACATGTAATCATTCATACAGACAATGAGGCGGCTATTCATATTATCAATAAAGGTACCACTGCCATCCCCTTATTATCAGTTATTTAAAACAACTCTTTTGGCTGTCCGCAGTCTATAATTTTAGATTTACGGCTAGTTATATCCCAGGCAAACAGAATTTAATAGCTGATGCAGTTTCACGTCTCCACCAGCCCCTCAAGCGTCTGGAATTTAATGAGCAACTGTGCTCCACACACCCCGACCAGTGGTGGATGGAATCATGTTATCCAATAACATGTCTCCTAACAGTCAGGAACACCTCTGTTGCAGATTGCCTGGATCCTGAGATGGCCAAACAATTGCAAAATGAGATCTTCCAATACAGATCGAATACCTTTCCAGAAACGACCAAAACTACGTATCGCACTCACTGAAACAGCTACCTTCGCTTTTGTCAGCACATGGAATACCTCCCCTTTCCAGCTCAACCAGCACATATTTGCCAGTATCCTGCGTTCTTACCTAGAACCCTCAAAGCCACATCCATTCCTTATTATCTTCACATCATTAGCATTTTGCACAAAGAATTTAACTTGCCCAATCCTCTAGCCAACTACTGGGCTCTTCAATCCCTCCTCACTGATATTAAGCGTGTCAAGGGTCAGCCACCTGCCCAGAAACTCCCTATTATGCCCGATGTACTAAAAAAAAATTATTTGCCATTGAATTTGCGTACCAGTTTCGATGCCTCCTTTTGGGCTGTCTGCCTAGTTTCCTTTTATGGTATGCTGCATAAACACCACCTTTTACCTGGTTCGTGCCATACCTTTCACCCGTCCCAGCAGCTTGTCCGATCAGATTTTCAAATTTTTCCCTGGGGTGCCCTTGTCACTATTTGGTGGAGCAAAACCATTCAATTCCGGGAACAGGTGGTACAAATCCTTTTGCCCCTAATTCCTGATTCCCCACTCTGCCCAGTTATTGCTATCCAGAGGGCGTTCTCATTTGTCCCTAAAGTTCCCCCCCCACTCCCAAGAAAACAGAAACGCGCAAAAGTGGACATAAGACCGAGAATGTCCTTGATAGTGATTGTCAAGCCCCAAAGCCAGGATTTTCTAGCCCTGAATTTGGCTGCGTGAAAGTATTTGTTTCGAGTAATGCCTTTGAGAAGCACCAGGACGCGGGCAAGCACTTCTACTACATCCATAAAGAGGGTTCCTGTGTTGAAATTAAGTGCAAGTGGGTATCGAGATGTAGTGACGTTGGCAATGTGAAAGAACTGACGTGCAAGACTACAGATTTAACAGACCAAGAAAGAGGACTAGGCCAGCGATTGACATGAACACGTGTTCGCGTTTTGATAGTCACTTCTCGACATTTGATCAAACGAGCCGAGATATTTTGTGTGACTTTGAGAGCAAAAGTGTAAAAAACCAAGGAGTATAGAGTTATTTAACCACCGAGCGAAATTCATGTCAAACAGTGAAAAGCAAACAACAGCACCGCGTGGGAACGTCAAGAGTGATTGTGCAATTGTGTCTTAAATGAGTGTTTCAAACGCAAAGAGCGACCAGACACTGGAGTTATTTGCATCTATTTAGTCTACCAGTACGTCCAAAGCAGTAAAAGCTCAATTCTGAGAAAGAAACTTCAAGCAGAGAAACTCGCCCTTGAGTCAAAAATAGCCAAGCAAAAGTGCAAAAAAGAAATCAGGCTACTGCATGGCGTAGAGGAAAGGGATAGGGAAGATAACCTTTTGGAGTGATTCTACCACCATTCCTCATTGGATTGATCAGACGAGCTCGAACTACAAGGCGTTCGTGGGAAATCGAGTATCCGAGATTCACACAATCATGAGCCACCTGGAAACTGCACTAGGGGCGGGTGCGGTGATCTAGAGATACGTGCCGAAAGGTGATAATCCTGCAGATTATGTCACCCGCGAATCTCACCTTGGATAACAAAACGTGAATCGTCGCAACAGCGCTGGTCTGGAGTTCCTTTACAAAGCAGCTGAGTTCTGGCCAGGAAACAAAGTTCAAGTGCCCTTGGAAGAAGGCAAGAGAGAAAGAAAACGGCTAGGAACGGTCGGAGTTTCCCAGGAAAGTGAGCCTGTGCTGGGGTAGAAAAGATATTCGTCCCTAGCTTAACTAAAAGAGAGAGACACAGTGAAGTTAAAGTGTACGGTTTTTGTTTGTTTGCATGGCTACTGGAGCTTGCCATCTTGAACTAGTGGACGATCTATCAGCGGATCATTTATGGCTTTGAAGAGGTTCATTGCACGGTGTGGGAGACTACAAAAAATATGCAGCGATAATCGAACTAACTTTGTACGGGCTAATAATTGTTGTGTTACTGAACATTGACCTTTCATGTGTCACGCGCGTATTGTTCAGTAATTAGGCTTGCGCACTACCGAAATAGAGGAGACGAATAAACATCGCAGTCTTATGAACACACACTGTTGTCCCTTCAATAACTCGACGTGGTGTCAGAAGCGGGATTAATTTCACTTAGACCCTACGGAAAGTCTTAACACATCGTGGTGAAAAAGAAAATTTTGTACCAACGGTCAAGAATTAATTCAACAAGTAAAACAGCGAGAACATGTCAGACAATGAAGCCGAACACGAAGGAAATCCTTCTGGCGTATTGGCGGGCGCCGAAGAACAACCTGAGATAGCACAACCACAAGTTGTCCAGCCAAACATTCGACCGGTCGCTAATTTTCAAGTAACCACACCGGAGAAATTTTCATTCAAGCCGGAAGAGTGGCCAAAGTGGATTCAAAGGTTTGAGAGATTTCGCAAGGCTACTGGGCTTGATAAATCAAGTAAACACATGAATTTAAACAATGAGCGAACAAGCGGACGATATCTTCATCTCAATCGAATTCACCACCCAAAAAGAGAATTATAAAGAGGTAAAGGAAAAATCGAAAATTACTTCGTCTTCGGGCGAGCAAAATTTAACTCAAGAAGTCAACGAGCGGGAGAATCGGTGGATAGTTTTATAACAGATTTGTATGGCCTGGCAAGGTACTGCAATTTTGGCCCGCTAAAAGAAGAGCTCATTCGCGACCGTATTGTCGTGGGATTACAAAACCGTGAACTTTCGGAAAAACTTCAACTAGATTCAAATCTCACCCTGGAAAAAGCTGCAAGTTGAGTGAGACAAAGAGAGACAGTGAAACAACAACAAAACATTTTTGACGGCGGATTCCAGTCTACTCCAGCACATGTTGATGGCATCGCGAAAGGAAAATCACGGAGAAACAAAGGAAACTTTAAAGAGAAATCGCAAGACAAGTCTAAAGAGAAACCTTCCGACAGTTTGAAAGAGAAAAATCCTGATCAAAAGTGCCAAAGGTGCCTTGGAAAATTGCACCTGCAGAAAACGTGTCCTGCACGCCTCTAAAAGTGTAACAAGTGTTCAAAAATCGGTCATTGGGCGCAGGCTTGTAAAAGTTCCAAACCAGGAAAAGTATTTGAAGTTGCTGAAGAGGAAGAATCTTTATTTCTAGGAGAAATCGTGGACGTTTGTGAAGTCCAAAGCAACGCCACAGAGTCACCATGGATTGCAACCGTTCTTGTGGACAAGAAACCAGTTAACGTCACGCTTGATAGTGGTGCAGATGCAACTGTTGTCCCATACAATGCCTTCCTAAACATTGATCTGAAGATACACCTTAAGCCTACTGATAAAGTGCTCCTGGATCCATGCAATTACAGGATGAACTGTAAGGGAGAATTCACAGTCACTCTCGCTTACAACCAAACTTCCAAAAAGGAAACCGTATATGTCATAGAAAGCTTAGCACGACCACTTCTGAGTAGATCTGCTGCAGTGAAACTAAACCTTATATCACGATTGTGTGAACTGACAACGGACGAGTACAAGGCAAAAGTGATGCGTGACTACCCACAGTTGTTTGAAGGACTGTGTACCATGAAAGATGAGCACACCATCGAGCTAAAATATGACGCAAAACCCTTTGCACTGAATGTGCCAAGAAAGGTCCCTATGATACTGTATGAAGAAACCAAGCACGAAATCGAAAGGATAATAAAGAACGAAGTGATTTCGCCAGTGGACCTTCCAACTGAATGGTGTGGTCTAATGGTAGTAACCCTTAAACCAGATGCTTAAGTCAGAGTGTGTGTAGACTTAACAAAGCTCAATGAGTATGTTCAGCGTGAGAATCACCCTCTTCCCTTCGTGGACCTCACCTTGGGAAAGCTAGCAGGTGCAAAGTACTTCAACAAGCTCGATGCAAATTCTGGGTTTTGGCAAATAAAGCTGGCCGAAATCTCGAGACCACTCACAACCTTCATCACACCCTGGGGACGGTACTGTTTTAACATGCTGCCTTATGGAATAAGCTCTGGTTTTGAAAAGTTTTCAAAAGTGCATGAGTAGAATTCTTGAAGGAGTTGAATGCAACATTGATGATGTTCTAGTTCATGCCCCCACCATAGAGCTACATGATTACAGATTACAGAAAGTGTTAGAGCGTCTAAGTGAGGCTGGTCTTACACTTAACATTGACAGGTGTACTTTCCGAGTTCCCAAGATCAAGTTCCTAGGCAATGTTGTTAGCGCAAATGGTATTGAGGTGGATTCAGACAAAGTTCCTACCTGCACCCAAGAATGTACACGAAGTCCGTGTGTTTTTAGGAATGGTAAACCACCTAAGCAAGTTTGCAGAATATTTAGCAGACAAGACCGAACCAATCCGAGACCTTATGCAGAAGGATAGCCAGTGGGTCTGGGGAACACCCCACCAACAAGCATTCGAAGAAATCAAGTCTATCTTGACAGCTGCACCAGTACTTGCTCTCTATGATTCTAACAGAGACACCAAAGTTTCAGCGGATGCATCTTCATTTGGACTGGGAGGAGTACTCCTACAGAAGCAAGAAGATCAGACTTAGAGACCTGTGATGTTCATATCGAGAGCACCCACCCCTGTGGAATGCAGATATGTGCAAATAGAGAGAAAAGCCTCAGCCCTAACCTGGGCATGTGAGCGATTCAGCAACTACATAGTGGCAAAGTCTATAGTTGCTGAAACAGATCATAAGCCACTGGCTCCTCTTCTCACCACCCGTACCTTGGATGAATCCCTCCTAGAGTTCAGCGGCTCAGAATGCGCCTCATGTGTTTTCATTTTAAAGCGGTGTACTATGCACCTAGAAAAGAAATGTATATATCAGAGGCATTGTCAAGAATGCAGTCAGAAAACAGAAACAGAATGGCCACTGTTCCTGAAGAAGAAATGAACATTTATGTTGACAGTCTCCTAGACTCCTTACCAGTCTCACACGTGAAACTAATGGAGATTAAGGAAGCCCAGGATGAGGACCCTGTCTGTCGACAAATAAAGAGTTACTGCCTGGAAGGCTGGCCAGACAAATTTCGTCGTAATGATGCACTGAAACCTTATTGGTCAGCCAGAGGAGCGCTCACTCCTGCACATGGGATACTCCAGAAGACAACAAGAGTTATCATGCCGTCAGCCAAGAAGCTGCAAGTTTTGGATAAGATACACGAAGGGCACCAGGGAATTGTCAAGTGCAGAAAACGCGTAAAGACCTCTGTTTGGTGGCCTGGTCTCAGCCGTGAAGTTCAAGACATGGTTGAAAATTGCAACGTTTGTGCCAAACACCAAAGGCAGCGAGCTGAGCCACTCATGCCAACGGCAGCGTGGCCGAGTGGTCAGCGCGTCGGACTCGCAATCCGGCGGTCCCAGGTTCGAGTCCCGCTTTGGCCACTTGCTGGATTTGTGCTCGGTCGTCCCGAGTTCAAATTCTCGGCCACGCTTGTAAATAGCCAACTGGTTGCCTTCTGCCAGTTGGGGTTTTTAATCCTGTTATGTTGTATTTGAATTATTTGTTTCTAATATTTGAGTGGAGTGCCTGTAAATTAGCTGGACAAGCTAAGTGCTCTTTCCACTATAAACAAGCCTTTAACTTTTTTTTTAACCTTTCCTGAACGTCCCTGGCAGATGATCGGCACTGACCTATTTGAGCTCGATAACCTGAACTATCTGATAGTAGTGGACTATTTCTCACGCTAGATCGAGGTGGCTGCATTACACAAGACCACCAAATGGCATGAAGTTATCAGAGCCCTCAAAGCAATTTTTGCAAGGCATGAAATCCCTGAATAAGTAAGAAGTGACAATGGCCCATAGTATGCATCGGCCGAATTCACTCACTTCGCAAAAGAGTGGGGTTTCAAGCATACAACAAGTAGCCCCCGTTTCCCACAGTCAAATGGTGAAGCAGAGCGTGCAGTAGAAACCACCAAGTCACTGCTAAAGAAAGAAAAAGATCCATCCAAAGGACTGTTGGCGTACAGGTCTACCCCTCTTGCTTGTGGATATTCACCATCTGAACTACTCATGGGAAGGAAACTGAGAAACACCACCCTAACACTCCACACTGTTCTCAATCCAAGTTGGCCAGATATGGACAAGCTACGCGAAAGGGAAGCAGGAAGCAAGGAAACTGGAAGGCTGAACTTCAATCACCGGCACAATGGAATTTCCTTGAAATCAGTCTAACCTGGTACTCCTGTGCACATCAAAGATATGGGAACCACCGGTACAATAGCTGAAGCAGCAGAAACACCTAGATCTTACTTGGTCGAGACAGAGAATGGCACAGTGAGACGAAACCGTTCTCATGTCAACCCAATCCCTACAAGCCAGTTTCACCAAGTGTTGAGAAGAAACAAGCCCGAGACAAGGCATTGACTCCCTTGAAGCAACTCGCATCACCTTGTCTCTCATCTAGACCAAAGAGACTCATTAGACCCTCTCTCAAGTTACAAGAGAGCCTTGGACTTTGTTGAACATTGAACTTTAGTTCAAAAGACACTTTCAAACTTGTGCTTGAACTTTGTTTTTATTTAGTTTCGCTGACACTTATCACATATGGTAGATTTTAGTTCCAGACCAAAGTTGTATGTTACTTTACAATCTCTCAAAAAGAGATGTTGTATTATTGAACTTTGACCTTTCATGTGTCACGCGCGTGTGGTGTTCAGTATTTATGCATGCGCACTACAGGAGTAGAGGAGAGAAATAAACATGGCAGTCTTATGAACACACGCTGTTGTCTCTTCAATAACTCGACAATAATGAGCTTTTGAAATGTCTTAAGCAACTGAATGAAGCGAAAGTACAATACTTTTGTGCACCAAAGGAGATTTAGTGGAATTTCCAACCGCCAAGTATGAAAAGCTTTAACTCTCTTATGTGGTGTGGTTTCGTCATTATGTGGTGTGGTTTCTTCATGTGTTGTGGTTCCTTCATTATGTCTTGCGGTTACTTCATTGTCTTGTCGTTACTTCACTATGCTTTGTGGTTACTTCATTATGATCAAATCTACGCATAAATTATTAAACAAATGACGAATCACATGGCGTTGGAAAAGCAAAACATGTAATGAATACATTGAGATAAAAGGGTTTATTGAAACGTCTGTAAGTCTCATATTTCTCTTTTCTTAATGAAATAATAAAGGTCTGTGAATAACTTATACAAATATTTTACGAAATTTTCCTGCAAAAACAGCAGATCGACCGTCAGTGACAGAGCGAGATTGACACATTCCACAGCGCAACTTTCATAAGCATTCTCACACTCCACCACATTCCTATACCTGCTCTAATTTTTTTTTTCTAACTCTTACAGCCTTATCCAGTCGCTACAACATTACCAAACCTGTCGTAAGAGAAAGTTAGATGGGTGATGCTGCGACACAAAAGAGCGGCAAAATGTCCTCTTTTGTCCAAATGTTTAAACCAATGTGTTATTAGGCGGAAGGAAACTTTGTTTCGATATCCGAGTTTTATTCTCCCTATGCATATGAAACGACAGTTTCAATTTGGACCGACGATGTTAATATTCACGGTCAAACAAGACCTAATGAGAAAAAGTGATTTTAATTGAGTAATTGGTACAAAATTGAAAACGATATCAACCTGTAACATGATCTAAAATCGTTTATTTTCATGTCAACAGCAACTAAAAAAGGCAATTTCTGCCTTTTCGCTGTCGAACAATGTACATGTTCCTTACGGAGTTGAAGACAACCGCAGGGGATACTTAATAGTAGACTCCAACGTGCCCGTCGTATGTCTGGCCATGAATTTAAAGGTGAACAGATGTTCAGGAACATCTCCGTATTCATTGCTAGGCATGTTCCACCAATCAAGGTGAGTGTAGAATTAAGGGTCCTTCTTTCCTTCCTTTTTTGTTAACTTTATTTTCATCTGGTTTAATGAAAGGTTAATAACTGGTCAGCATCCGAACTTTTTTTGCACAGGTACACGATGTCCCAAGTGACCCACGAGGCGCGGAAAAATGCGCCTACACAAGACGTCGAACGAGGACAGGTGGTGGCCGAGTACACGACGGAACTCATATCCTCGACGGAGGCATCTAAATGCAAAGCAGAGTACGCGAGAGTGGGGAAGACCTGTACCCTTATGGTCATACGTCACCGTGCCAAAGCCTCAGGTAAGTTCCTGGCTTGAGTGCATTTTTGCAGATACTTTTTTACTGCCTCACTCCTTGTTCTAATTAAAATAATTATAGTCAAACTCCTTTTACAAATAGCCACTTTGAAAATACAAAGTGATTACTTCGGCATAAAGCGTTCTCGAAAGTGCCCCGCAGATTGTAGCATTCAGCAGCCTTTACACATATATTATCACAATTGGCGTTGAAATGTGATAAAAGAAAGGAAATTTCAGCATCTTTGGTTGATAAAAAAGTCTTTAAAATGTGGGTACCTCTGGGTACTTCTTAGCCTGTACAATATTCAGGACTTCATTTTGCTGGCGTGAGGTCCACATTTGGAAGATTTCAACATTTAATCCAAAAAACATATTGAATATTCATGACCTTGTTGTGGGTCACTGAATATTTTGTGATGCGAAGACTAATTGAAACAATGAAAATAAATGTTGACATATGGAAACTTCGCTCTAAAGCCATCGCAAATCGGACAATCAGGTCAAATGACGAAATAATGCAATTTTCTTACTTTTATCGCAAGACAAATGAGAAAAAAGCCGACGACAAAACGACCTTATTTTGCGATGGAATCTGCCATGACTGTGATATTGCGTGATGCTTCTGGAAAAATGCATCATGGGATACTATTTGATCATCGTCTGTTTCTGTCTCTAAGCCTGATGGATCAGTTCGACTATGCCTAGATCCAAAGGACCTTAACAAGAGCATCAAAAGGAACTAGTACTACACGAAGAAAATCGATGAAGTTAGTGTTGAACTCTGCAGGGGAAAATATTTTACACCTGTTAATGCCAAGTCAGGGTATTGGATGGTAAAATTGGACGACGAAAGTTCACTTCTAACTATCTTGAACACTCCATGGGGGAAATACAAGTGGCTCCGAATTCCCTTTGGTCGTAAGGTCAGCGCACACCTATTTCAGGAGAGGTTAAATGCAGTCCTTAAAGAAGTGAAAGGAGTCACTGGATGTATTGACGACATCCGCACGAGAGGGGTACATTCCAAGAATCATGATGTAAATCTACTCCAGTTACACGAAACGGCAAAAATGAACGGAATAGCTGAGTTTCATATTCCCGGTCATACTGGGGTGAGTGCATTGACGCGAGGTTAACGCAGGTTAAAATTCAGAGAAAGCAATCAAAACAATATGGTGAATCACAGTTGTGCTTTTCATTGCTCAAATAGCAGAAACAGGCTGAAAAATACCCAGAGCTAGAAAATATTGAGTTTTTCCCAGCTAAAGAGAGATCTTTTCATTGAGGATGTCTGTAAGGACGATCGGTCCGTCAGATTTTAAACTGGGATCCCCTCGTTGACTTGCCTACTTATGGCAAATAACAGGCGGTCATTGGACAACTGTCCGGTAAATTTGACGTTTTGACCGGCGAAGTATTAGTCTGGTCTGCCACTCTGAGTGGTTAACAGTCGAAGAAAATGAGACAGCGACTGATCACCGACTAGAATACGTGAGGCGGAGTGAAACGAACAATCACAATCTCCAGTCGCTTTGCAAGAAAGAAATCCGCTAGTTGCAGATTTCTATGACAAAAAGATTATAAACGATTCCAAAGTATATTTTAACCTAAACAGCAGTTCAGTGCGCTCAGGAGGCTTTGAAATAATATTGCTTCCAACTAAACAGACAATCATTTTTGTCAAAACACGAACGGCAATTATTCACTCTTCATGGTCACAATTTCATCACCGTTCACTTCTGTTCCAAGTTTACAGTTTCAATCGTAAGACAGACATTCCAACCCTCCAAAGCCAAAACTAGGAAGATTTAGTTCGCCAAGGGCATATACCAAGTATAACAGCCTAGTAACAGGGTGAGTTTTTACATTGTTTTGGATATTTGTGACAAATCTGCATGATCTAAACGTCTGACTCGGTTTTTTTCCCGGCCTTTCCGATTACAGCTGTTCGTTCCATTTGCGCGGGAAAACAGCGAGTGTGAGAGAAAATTGTGTTAGTGGTCGCGTATGAGTCGATTTTTTGCTTGATCATATTGCTTGGTTGTTTGACTTTCAGTTCGAGTTCGACGGCAAAAATGGATTTTCTGAAGTTACAGTGCGACCCACGAACTGATTAAATATCTCTGAAGAAACAGTTTGACCAGGGTTTCAGCGAGGAAAAACAAAGCTGTTGTAAATCTCTCTCCAACAAATGCAATCAAGTATCCCGTTGGATAAAACAAAAGGAGTGAAAATGAAATGATCGACAAGGATGAGATTGGCCAAACACTTATTCTGGAGGACATTATTTTGGCAGATGAAACTAGCGGATTTCTTGCTTGCAAAGCGACTGGAGATTGCGATTGTTTGTTTCACTCCGCCTCACCTATTCTGGTTGGTGATCAGTCCTTGTCTCATTTTCTTCGACTGTTAACTACCTTGAGCTTGACATAACGCTTTCTACTCTCAGCACCCCGCTTTTTAAGAGCATTTAAATGCTGGTATAGCCAATAGTTCTGATAAACAAGCACTGTTCACCATGTGTTTGACTCCTGGTGGAATGGCTTCCTGGGATGGCAAGGATCGGATAAAAGCGATAAAAGCAGAGGTAAATCGTGGTTGCAAGGAGAGAGTGTGGCGTGGTATGTTTTATGTAATGGCACTCACCAGCGTCTCAGGAAGGCCACTGTATTCAGTATATCCGAACACAGGCAGTTCAATAAGGGACTTTCTTCACAGAAAGATTCTCCCATGCATTTTGAATGAGGGGGCACAAAACACTGTATACATCATGTGGTCACAAGATGGAAGTCTAGATACGACTCCGAAGACCTGGTAAAAACCGAACCATTCCATCCCTATTTTCAGGGTCTCTCATAAACCCGCATACTCAAAGTCAAAGACACCTGGATCTTCCCGAAATGTGGCTAACCCCAAGCCATCTCTCATAAAGAAAGGGACAACAAAGAGAACTATCACCAGTTATTTCTCAAGTGAAGTTGGGCAGCACCAAAAAGCAATCAAGAGAACACGCGATGAGGTGAAATCCCCATCTTACTGGGATAACTCAGCAAGTGTCAAGAAAAGTAAGTTGGGTGTCACTGTGGATAACTCTGAAACTCTGATGAAGACTGATAGCGCAAAGACATCATCTAGCAAGTTGACTTGTGCCACAGTTGAAAGGTGGACGGGCGAAGACTTAGCGGATTTCCAGGCAGAGTTGTGGCTAACCTACAATAGAAAAAAAACTGGCAAGGCAAATTACTGTTCCGCATTGAAATGCCATGTATGCACTCTGTTTAAGCCCATGATCAAGAACGGACCGAAGTTCTCAAGAGCATTTATTGATCGTTCAACCAACTTTAGACTTACAAATGTGATAGACCATGCTAAATCGGAAATCCACAACATAGCATTTTCTCTTTACAATAAGCAGAAAGGTGAAACGTCATTGACTGTAGAGCAAAATCGACAAAAGTTGGATTTTAACTGAACTCACAACAGACTGAAGACCTTAAAAAGAAATTTGACATTTCCTACTTTGTGGTTAAAGAAGAAATGCCTCTCTCAAAATATGAAAAAAAAAATCACGCTTGAGAAAAGGCACGGTGTTCTGCATGGGACAGTGTACTCTAACCGAACAGCAGTGACAGAGTTTATATCCTTTCAGGCAAACGAAGTTCTTACCAAGCTATAGAAGGACATTTCTCAGTCAAAGTTTCATTGCGTCTTATTTGACTCAACCACTGACAATGCTGTTGCAGCACAGGAGGCAGTATTTGTCCTTTACTTCGATCCTCCTCCAAATGAGCCCAAATTAAGTAATGACTCAGAGCCAATGATTAAAGTAAAGACAGGGTTCCTATAAATACAAATTTAAAAAGTTCGGATGCCCAGGGAGTACTAGTTGCACTGAAGATGTCACTTGAAAACTTGGGACTTTCACAGGAAAGGGAAATCCCCCCTACCCTTGTTGGCCTTGGAGGGGACGGTTGTAGCACAAACAGGAGTCAAACTAGCGGCGCACAAGCTCTGTTTAAGAAGTAATTTCTTTGGCCCGTTTTTTGATGGTGTGTAGCCCATTGATTAGAGCTTGCCCTTAAAGATGCGCTTAGCAATATGTATTTCAAAGAGGTCGACGAACTATTGTTGAGGTTGTATTACTTGTATGAGAATAGCCCAAAGAGGCTGAGAGGGCTTTATGAACTCCATACTGCATACAAGCAGACCTTTGTATTTGAACAGGGTTCTGTGAAATCGAAGAGAGCCACTGGTACAAGATGGATCAGCCACAATCTTGATGCTTTAGAGATTCTAGTTGACAAGTATGGTTTATTTATTCAACATTTGGAAACATTAAGCTGACAAATCCGTAAAACCAACCGACCAAGCAAAGTTGAAAGGCTTCCTAAGAAAATGGACAAGTGGTAAGCTGTTCGTCTACTCCTGCTTCTTTGTTGATCTATTACAACCAGCAGCTGTTTTTTGCCAGGCATTTCAAGTTGACGATGTCGATGTTGTCACAGTTTCGCTAGCCATTTGGAAAGCAAAGAAACAGCTTAACAATGTTCAGAAGCTCCAAACATTTAGACACTACTTGGACAAGATTTGACAACGACAAATATCAAGGTGAAGAGCTTCCAAACTTGGAAACAGCCATAACAAATTTAAAGGAACATGCTGCATCTTTTGTGCAGTTGCTGCAAAATGCAATAGAAATTCGCCTTTGTGGAAATAATGACATAGCAACAATAGCAGACATCCTGAATTGAGAAGCATGGGACTGAAAAAGCAGTGGAAACGAGTCCATGGATCAAGTCATTCTGCGTCACCTTTGCCACTGTCAAGAACCTCTCAGACAGCAAGGACTCCTGGTATCACAAATCGAAGTAGTCAACGAATGGCATGACACGCTTGACTACACTGTGAAGTATTTGTCACCATCATGCCATCATTACAGAGCAACATGATTTAAAATTTTCAATTCTTCAAGAAGTTTTCAATGGTAAAACATTTTGCTACTAATTCGTTTATTGTTTAGCGTTCCTGTACCTAATGCTGTGTTGGAAAGGTTCCTCAGCAGTTTGAGACGAGTGAAGAGCGTAAAGAGAGCTTCACTCTCCCAACAAACTCTTGAAGATATCTTAAGGATCCAGGCTGAAGGGCTACCAATGGAGTGCTATGACCCTAACAATGCCAACAAAGAGTGGGACGGGGCGAAAAGAAGACGGCCAAATCAGAAGGAAAGCCTACAAAAAAGGGCCCCGACAAATCGCTTTCATCTCAAAGAAGATTCTTCTGACGAACGTTCATCAAAAGAATCTTCTGAGGAGAGTTTTTAAGTGCGAAGTCAGTAGAGACTGATCAGTGAAATGATACAACTGTTACAGCTCCTGTCTTTGATTAATATTGCGCAATTAAAGCAGTGAAATAGGTTGTTTTGCTGAATTCTTAATTTTGTTCTTTCACTTGGAATTTTTTTTGTCCAACCAGACTGTTTCCTTGTCAGGTCAGGTCTGGTCTGGTCTCTGACCTAACAAATGACCTGCTTATGGAAAAAATTATTTGCAGCCTTGTTATGGTGTTTAACTTTTTGCAGCCAGTTACTGAAAAAATGAAATATTGGGATGTCAAGAAAAAAACTGCGAGAGAAGCTTATCAGGTTGGTCAATATTTCTTTCATATTCTTTCATAATGGAGCCCAAACAAGGCCAAGGTACCATTAATTATGAAGAATTCGTTTATCAAATTACTTTTCTATTATCTATTTTCTTTTTCATCATATACTATAGAGGTAAAAGAGCAACTCGTGCAGAGCTAAAGAACATATTTAAGGTTATGTAATTTTAATCTAATCTACTTTCTTCGTTGTAGGAAGGAAAAGTCCGAAACAAGCCAGGACCAAAAGGACAAGTGCCATTGTTTGCTGAGTTTATTTTAGTTCTTGTGAGGCTTAGACTGGGTTTGTTGGTTGGTCATCTTGCTGACCTTTATTCACTTTCTAAAGGATCTTCATCTAAAATCTTCACAACCAGGATAAGTATGCTCTACCATATGTTTAAGGACATTCTTATTGCTTGGCCTACAATGCAGCAAGTTAGGAGGCATCTCCCAAAGAGTTTTGCAGAGTTTCCTGGAACAAGAGTAATTATGGATTGTACCGAAATGAAAATTCAAAAACCCACTCGCCCATTTATACAAAAAGTTACTTGGAGAAATTATAAAAGCTCAAACACCTTTAAGCTTTTAGTTGGAATTTCTCCCACTGGTGCTTTCACATTTGTCTCAAAACTGTGGTCTGGAGGTGTTTCAGACAGAAACATCACTATGCAACCAGGTCTCATAGACACATTAGGACCTAATGATGATTGCATGGCAGACAGGGGTTTTAACATGAGAGATTTGATCACAAACAAAAGGGCCACTTTAAATATCCCTCCTGTCTCTAAAGGAGAGCAGCTTTCCACAAAAGCATGTACAAAAACGCGACGCATTGCAGCTGTGAGGACACATGTTGAGAGGGCTATTCAAAGGTTGAAAGGTTTCCAGATCCTTCAGGGTGTCCTGCCGCTGTCCCTGGCCTCAGTGGCTGATCAAACTCTTATAGTGTGCTGCCTTTGCCACTTAATAAAACCCTTGGTTAAATAATGTTACACTTTAGTACATAACGACCTTTCCCGCATTCCTGTAAACAAAGGCATCAAGTCGAGGCTTGGGTGGACAACACAGTGATTTGTATGAAACTGCCCACCCAAGCCTCGACCTCATTTTTTATGTTTTCTCACTGGAGCGGAATGCGGGAAAGGTCTCTTCCAAAAGATGCATTCTCAATTGGACTTATTATCACCATAATAGTCATTCATATATACTGTCCTGATGGAATGGAAAACAACTTGACAGAACTGCTTCTGGCTACCGAATGTGCACTTTAACTGCGAATCAGCTTATGCCAAACAAGTTAACATGCCATTGTACAGTTAAACATAGTTACAAAAACCCTGAACAACTACAGTTTCGTTCAGGGTAAACCAAATTTAACTCTGGGAAAAACTATCTCAGGAAGCATTACTTCTTCAAAGAACCTAGTTAGTTTTAGAAGGATTGTATTCCTGAAGTTTCCTTCATATTGACGTGCTGCATGAAGAACGCCTTATTTGTGCCACATGCCATAAAGTAACCCCATTTGTACGTGGTAAAAAAACATCTGATGACATAATTGTTAGCCTGGGTCACTCCGGGTGGGTAAATGAATGATTCTGTCTGGAGATGCTACAAGAAAACCATGGGACTTGCTGATGAAAAACCCACACTCCTCCAAGGATACACCACTGAAACCTTTCTTGCTCATCTCTGAAATGAAAACTTGTGCAATTTTATCTTCTTCTTCTAGGCCCTCTCTCAAAGCAGTTATCTATGGAATGTCTGAGTAGCTCATTACTTCTTCTAAAGCCTTAGTTGGACAAGTAGTGAGTTTAAAACTGGCAACTCTTGCATTTTCAGGCAGAAATGCGCTCCTTCTTAAAGCGATACCAATACTTACTTTGTAACCTGGTTTACTTTTCAACAATAACTATTTCGTCATCTGAAAAACCGAGTTTTCTTTTAAAAGCCACACAGGCATCTTTGATTTGTGGCAAAGTGGCTCCTTCAGGTAAGGGGAGAGATTTTCAGTGTTGTATGGCTAATGTTGGGGTGTCTGTGAATCAAAATGAACATGATCACTATCCAGATTCTTTTGATCTGCAACTGCCTCCACCACTTGTGGCTGAGCCACAACATGCAAACCCACTGCACTTGTACATTTTAAAAGAAGCCTTCGAAACTCAAGAGCAGGATTTGTTCTTGCCATGTAACTTGGCCGTGGATCAAAGATGTTTGCTTTAGGTTTACATGTACCTCTCATTTTTTTTTCTAATGGTGGGCCTGGTAAAATCCATGTCTTCGACAGGTGTCACTATCTCATGTGTTCTTTTTTTCTTTTCCACATACACTTTGACCCAGTACATGTAACCACACTGTTCTCACGAAGGATTTCTTCCAGGTTTATGAGAGCAGCCCCCACATGTCTACAAGCACCATCAGAACTGAAATAGATATTAATCCATAACGTAAACATAGATTATTTGCTTTTTGGGCTGATTGCTTAACAACAATTATGGGATATAACAAAAATGGAAGTCCAAATAATAAACTAAAGATCTTAATAAAACAAAGGTACAACCGCTTTTTACCAAGTATTCAACCAGAACTAGAATTATGAGAAAAAAGTAATCACGTTACAATATTTTGGGCTGTAAAGAATCGTTTATAAGATAAAAATAATCAACCTTCCTTCTTTTTTTGTTCTTCCTTGTGCATTTAAACGTAAGCTTATACTTACCCTCCAATACAGGGACAGTGAGCTGAATGAACTGAACCATTTTACTTTGTAACTAGCCAGCCATCATAGGTTGGCTCATTGTCCATTTGAGGTCTCTCTCGTTCAGTCAGTTTCACGCTGAACTTTATAAGGTGGCATCCACAAAAAAGTGATTTGTTGGTTGGGAGGCTTTGCACATGTTCGTCCCAGTGTAATCTACATCTTGCCAATGATTTGTAAGCCTTTAAACTTTCGTGGTCATATCCCTCTCTTACAATTAAATATGCGTAAATGTCGCCCCAGGTGGAATTCAATAACAGCGAAAAATCTGTTGTCCTGTCCGAATGAAGCGAATAGGGGTCGGGAATAGTTCCCTCGCCCATTACCAACTTCACAGAAATATCGTTTTGATCCCCTTATTTATCGATGATTTCAATGGTGGGTTCCTGAGCTTTACCGCACAAATCGAAAAGCTCATCGCGACACTTATTCCTCGCACTTGTAAATACCCTTCAAATCCGGAACTCTCATTTGGACGAAATTAGGCTCCATTTTATCGGCAAGATTACCGCTGTTTTCTGTTTTCAGCAGCAGAAATTGCCGTTTTTCGTTTGTTGCAAAAAATCTTCAGTCTGAAGATTTTTCGGAGTTCTTTGTCGTGTTAATAATCACTGAAGTCTAGAGCAAGTTGTCGATTTAACAAAAATTGCGAAAAATCGTAAGTCTGACGATTTCTTGCGTTACTTACGAGTTTTTGCAGTTCTTTGCCATGTTAATAATCACTAAATCAGACAGGCTTGCGGATTTAACAAATTTGCGAAAACTGCAAAAAATCGCAACTTTGATGATTTTTTGAGTTACTTGCAATTTATCGCTGTTCTTTGTCACGTTAATGTTCACTTTGCTGGTATTCATTATCACTTAAAACAAAACCGTTTGCCGATTTTACCAAATTTGCTATAACTCTGAAAAGTTTCCGCTTTTACTTGCCATTTTGGCATTTCCCTTTCAAAACAATTAAAGCATATCTACACGCAAAAGCCAACGCAGCCAATCTTTAAATAAAGGTTTCTCATCTAAAGGTTCGAGTCATATTAGTGAGATTCCATGGGGATCAACATTATTAATGTTTTTCAACTGGTCAAAGTTATTTATTCACATTGCATCTTAAATACACCATCATTCACTTCAATGTAACAATTATTTTGACCAGTACATCTAAAATATGTGGTCGTTTCGCCCAAGGTTGCTTTGCCCGGACTTGTTAAAGTTGATTCGACCGATAAAAAACAACACTCTACAACACTGCTTATTAAAGATACTTTTTGCTTGGATTATTTTGCCGCCATTACTTAAACAGGTCAAGCGTTCTGCATGATCTTAGAAATCTTGACGATTGCTACGTTGATCTTGAATATATTTTGTATAAACTCATCACTGCAAAATGTTGTGGATCAGTAAAGCTGTCACTTTCACGCTTATTCCTTGACAAATCAACGTCGGGCAAATCCACAAGTAATATACCTCGGGTCTTTAATGCTCGTGAACCCCAGCAACAACACTACACTCGAGTCTTAAATGCACATCACATGAAGCCAAATCTAGAGCAACTTCGACTAGAAATAGAGAGCCACTAATTGACAAGAAGGGAAGAAATATAAAGAACAGAAAGGAGTGCGTTCCACGATGGCAGTTCTTTATTCCTACTCGTGAAAAGCAAGAAAGGTACTTCTACTGAATGTGCCTTTGAAAAACATCACAGATATTTTCAGATAACAACTCCTCAAAGACTTTCCTTGCAGAAAGTCCAATTCGAGGCCTTCTTGATGAGACGAAAGGTGGGTTGGTTACTCTCAAAGAAGCCACCAGTCGCGGGTTTTCAGAGTGAGGGGAACGACTCAGCACTTTTTGTATACGCCACCTGGTGAAGAAGCTGAAATACAAGGAAGAAGTATTCTGTGTGGATTTTTCCCTAGGAGCATTACACTGCTCTTCTTTAGCACTCGCCAGAATCGCTCTGCTTTGTTCCAACGAGTAACATCACTAGTGGGGGAAACAGATATTTACTTAGTGCAATTTTTAGGCTGTCAGGTCACCTCCATGAGGAGTAAACCAGTGAGGATAAGTTGTAGTAAAGAGCCTATTTTCTGGAGCGTCCGGTCGTAGAGTACTGTTCTCACTTTACCTTAAGAACATCAAAAGCGACAGTGGAATTTAGATAACAAAAGCATCAGAAGCAAAGCAATTCGTTGTAGGAGTGAGATCAAAAATGGAGATGATAAAGAATCGAATTCACATTTAAATGAGGACACCTAAAGTAAACTTTGAAATGGAGTAGACGATGATAGAAAAAGAACAACAAAGGGCCGAAATGAACACTGAAAGTTACAAATTGAAGTAGAGAGACTGAACCTGGAAAATGGGAACTTGAAGGAAAACTTGAAGTCCGCAGTCGAAACTAAACAAGACACGAAACATAACACTGTAAAGTTACCGAAGCTTGATTTCAAGAAATTTAGCATGGGTCTGTTTAAGTGGCAAGAATTCTATCATTCGTTTAACACAGCTGTACATTCTAACCGGTCTTTCAGCCCAGTAGTGAAAGTGGATTACCCAAGAGCCAAATTCCCCAACAGGTCCCCCAGAGAAAAAACAAAACACGTAATTTGTGTTTTGGCACAGAGAGAAGTTTACTGTAAAGAAAAACTGGCAGAGAGAACGATGAGAATAACAACTTCTCTGCCACCCTCATGCGAAACAACCCAGGTTGGGTGGATGGGAAAGAAACTCCAGTAACGTGTGAGCAAACATCTAACACAAAGTGACATATGATAAACAACAATCTAATACTAGTAGAAGTTTCAATGTGCGAATAATCCCTGTGAGCACGTGCATGCCCAGTGACACCAGCAGTCGCTAATAAGCGACGAAATTTGCTGACAAGCCGATGCTTAGTAAGAGGAGTACCGCCTTGTGAGCCAGGAAAAAGAAACAAGGCGGAAAATAAAGGGCGCAGGAACTGAGCGAACCATGCGGTGATGTGCAGAGACTGGACACAATGGCGAGTCTGGGATTCGAACCCTTGACCTCTGCGATAACGGTGCAGCGCTCTACCAATTAAGCTAACAAGCCAACTGGGAGCAGGTTGTTGAATTGGTTCATTATAAACGCATGAAAAGATGATGATGAAGTTATGAATATATGAAAATCATACATGTGAACTGCAGAGTGAAGAATTAAATGAAGGATGATCATCGCAATTATATACACAACTTTTGCAAATGTGAAAAGAAGAAGAGTGTTGGTTTCGCAATTGCAAAAGGTGCGTATATAACTGCGATGATCATTCATCATTTAATTCTTCACTCTGCAGTTCACAAATATGATTTTCATATATTCATAACTTCACAGGAATGTGAACTTTACGTTCCCCAAATTGAATAGTCTTAGTGCAATGAAAAGTAACAATGAGACCAAGCTCATTAGACACGAGATCACAACAGGTAAGAAAACCTCTAGGATCAAATGTGTTACACGAAGGGACAATATTCGCTAAATGAGCCATAAGAAAAAAGGCAAATAAAAAGGCGAAAGACAGTGTGCAGGACTGGGCACCGTGTTGCAAATCTAATACCCTGGAAATACCAAGCAAAAGATCGGGTGTAACAAGAGGCACCCTACGCAGCATGTGTAAAGCGTTACGTGTGATACCTAGCAAGGTTAAAAAGAGAAGAAACTGCTTACTGCAGGGAAATTCTACACCTGAAAACAAATGAAACAGCTTAACCCCGACAAGTAATTGCGAACAGAAGGTGGGCTATTGGTACGACTTACAAACTGAACATAAAAGCAAATAGTATCGAGCTCAGTGGGCGCAGATGTAAACTGGAAATACGAACAAAACAAAAGGACCAAAAGATAAGCCTTGTCTTTAAGCTAACAAAGGTTCCAATAATATAAGCAGAACAAAGAGTGTAGGAAATTTTTAAAGAACTAAATTTGCTTGCTCCTGATAGCTTGACGGCACAGCTTGCAGAAGAAGTTTTTCCCTCCACATTGATTCCAAGCGATTTTTGTGGAGGTAAGGAAGTACTAGCTGTGAAAGCCACCGACAATGGTGATTGTACAATGCAACGTCCTTTGCTCTTTGTGGGGATGAGTCACTTGCATTGTTACTACGACTTCTCGTATCGGGTGAATTGCTTTTTTCAATACAACATATTATGCAGAGCATTCAGTCTTTAGTGATTTGTTAAGTGATACTAACATCTATGTAGAAACAGTTTTCAACTGCTCTTAAACGTCAAGAAAAAAAGAACTTTTCACACTCAGGACAAGTGCAAGGCAGTGAAGGTTCAAGCGTTGTCTATATGTGTTGTTGGGGAAGGGTCATCTTTCTTGGATATCTTAGCACTAGCTCCTGTAATATGAAGACCACTTTTCTGTTTACCTCGATGTTAATATCCGTTAGACTATCGACTGAATCAGAAATACCACCAGAAAAAGTCATCAATCTAGGGTTAAGAGCTGGAGCTTTTGACAATCGCCCTGGAACTTGGTTTGACACCAATCATTTTGTTCCCATCATAAATAGGTGGAAAGCGAATGACAAAGGAACTGAAAAACATGACAAAACGTCAAAAAACCGAACACCGTGAACCGGAAATCACAGTGTACACTCGTTACGTTTACCACTCATCAAACATCACCCAGTAAACCAGTTCAAAAAAGTACCATGGATATGGCTGCACTGGAGGACTGTAGTAAGGACCAAAAAAAACCGGAAACATCAGCACCAAATGTGGCCCGGAAAAGAAAATTCCATCCCAAGTGGAAAGAAGAATTCCCGTGGCTGGTGTTTTTTTTTTAAGAAAACAACTGCATGACCTGCAGTATTTGCCTTCAAGTACCTTGGGTTGCAGGGAAATCACAGTTTCTTTCTGGCTCGAATAGCTTTAAAAAGGAAACCATTGAGCTTCATGGTTCAAGCAAATGGCCATTAAGAGCTGTGACAGCCATACGAGCCAAACAGAACCCCGTAGCGCATTCTTCAATAGCCAGACGTTTTTTCAAGAGGCAGAAAGACCAAGAGGAACGAGACCGTGAAGAGATGGGGATAAAGATGAATATAGCATACATTGTTGTGAAAGAGGAGTTGCCCTTCAGCAAATGCCAAGGACTCGTCTCCCCCCAAAAAAAGAGTGGACTGGAAATAAACATGACCTATGCCAATGACAAGTCACGCGCAAAAATGGTGTCAGTAGTTGGTAATGTGTACAAAGATCAGCTCACAGATGAGTTCAGAAGGACGAATTACATCAGCGTAATGGCTGACTGCAAGACTGACACAGGAGGCTTGAAAAACAAGACCGTGTACGCTCATTTCATACGTGATGGCAGGCCAGTGAATCGCTTAGTCGGACAAAAAGCTGTTGAACATGCTACTGCAGAAGGTAATAAGAGAAGAATAAGAGCTAATTTTTTATTTACATGAAGCACTCACCATGCTAAGAAATTCACCACATAAATCAAAAATCCAAATGACATCTCATTAATCAGAAATTAACGGGCTTACTTTTTGGCCACGTTTCAAAATTGTTTACTCAATAAGCTGAAAACTATTGCAAATACAGACAACGTTGTCGATAGTACCATTGATTCTCTGAATTCTACCTTTCGCGCTTCTTTTTCCGCTCTACTTTGAAAGTCAAGCATTTCCAAAATCTCATTACAGTCGAAACTCCACATGTGACCACCTCCCATAAGCAACCACCCTTCCAAAACATCAAAAATGTTCTCAGTCAAAGCCTTATACTGGAACCTCTTGTAAACGACCACCTCCCATAAGCGACCGTGACCACTTTTTTGGCTGACAGTTTACAAAATTTTCTATTGGTTTCAACTTCTGGTAAGTGACCACCTGACACATGGTCTTATCTTTAGTGGGTAAAATTGGATGACGGGACAGCAGGCACCAATTATTATTGTTGCATTATTGGCTGCACGTCCTCGAGATTTCTCCCTTTGCCTTACGCAGGCTAGACGCGACGTGATGTCTAGACAACAGCTTTTGCTTTATCAATATGCCATATATCTGCCACTGCATTCAACGTTCAACCAAACCGTCCAAAACAAAATGTCATTACAACGAGGTGCAGGATTGGAGAACTTAAATTTGCCCATTCCAACCACACTGTGTTCCGATCAGAAATTATCTTACTGCGAAAATGTAAAGGTCTTTACCTTGCTTTTCCAACCAACAGAACGACTTAGATCAACAGTGTTGACAATACAGTGTAATTAAAGGAAAAAGATCCTGCTCTGTTTGGTTCGAGCAATTGTATCCAAGACATTTTAGCCTGTTCACAGCCAACTATTTTCTCTTCAAAGTCCGTCAAGCATGCGTGATAAAATATAAACCGCAGGGGATTTATTGACCGCCAGCGCAAGGGGGTTGGGGTTCGGGGAAGCAGTGTTCAATCTAGGCCGCGTTTTTGCGTCATTTACGCAGAATATTCTATTCTGACGCAAAATGAAATGATCCTGGGGTCATACTGACGCAAAAAAAAGAAACGAACAAAAAACCCCCAAAATAAGTTTTCCCGTGTATAAGTACTTCCAAAGCAGCAGGCAATAATAAAAGTAAATTTAAAAACAAATATGTGTGCTTACTAGCCTTATATGAACGCGCGAAATCGCGAAATTTCAGACTACGTTTGTACGAGTACTTTTTGTGTCAGGCGTTCCAATTCCGAGAGAGACTGGACGCTACTACGACGTTCTGCAACGTTGCCGATCGATTCACGCTTCGTTCGTTGACTTTGTTCAGGGTGTGTTCTTGTGTCTACGTTAATTTTAGTTTCATGAAACACCAGCAAAAGTTAAGTCTTTTTTTTACGCCAAAGAGAGTGGCAACGGAAAGTGAAGATCAAGGTGAACTGGAGGAGACAAATGACGAAGGTGACTATTGACTTTCTTTCGCAATGAGACATGTGCAAAGGGAAAAGGTTTCTACAATAAACTCATACAACATGACTTTGTAGGAGCTACATATCTTCTAATGGATGTACTGTCCATCATATCAAAACTCTGCTTGGTTTTCCAGAAGAAGGATCTTGATGTCTCCATGGTTGAGGTTCATGTAGATCACTGCTTTGCTGAATTACAGAAGCTCAAGGAGGGAAAGCTTGGCAGATCAACTTACCTGGATAAGCTCAAGAGTGACATTACAAAGGACAGTCAGGGCAAAATGATGTTCAAGGGTAACCACCCTTTGAAAGGCAACAACAACATTGATTCAATCAAGGTCACATTTATTGACAAGATAGTAGAAAACTTAAATACCCGGTTTCCAAAGGAAGAAAGCAATATAGTCTATGCTTTTGGGGTGCTGGGGCTTCGGCCAATCTCCCTCTTATCTCCAAGTGACTTAGAAGAGTGGGGAAATAGCAAGTTGGAGACGCTTATCAACCACTTTGGCAAGGAAAAGGAGCACAAGTAAGTTTAAAACTTGTTTTAGCGGAGAAAAACCAAAACTGAACTGGAAGCTCAGGATAGCACTGGAGCACAGCTGTGATCCAATGTTAGCTTCATGCAATTGCTTGCAGTCTGGTTTTACTTTTACTTTTTCTTTCAACAAACAATGACATAGTAACAAGTGAATAATACTTATTTTTGTTTTAATATTGTCTTTGCTCTTCATTGGGTATTTAGGCATGCAGATGCAGTTAGCAAAACTGCAGCTGTGATTGATCCAGACCAAACTGCAGATGAGTGGGCAAAGATCAAGCCACTTGTAGTCAAAGCTGGATATCCCAGGGACAGAATGGTACCACTGTGGAACTTAGTTCATAAGTATCACAAAGATGAATTTCCAAATTTAATTACACTTGCATCTCTGGCTTTAACAGCTCCTATTCACACAGCAGATTGCAAACGAGGGTTTAGTCTTCAGAATAGCCTCAAGACATCCGTCCGAAACAGACTTGGTTCAGAAAGAGTTGATGACTTAATGGTTGTCTCTGCTGAAGGAGAAGATCTTGATCAATTCGACTTTAACGCGGCCTTGCAGCACTGGAGGAAGAAAAAGGACAGAAGAATCTTTACTGGCTAACTAAGGAAAAGCTTGGAACTTGTGTTAGGTAAGGCTGATTAGAAAGTATGAAGTGTAAAAATGGTCAAACAGGCATTTTTTGGTTTCCTTTTATTCATAATTGGTCTTTTTCGGCTTTACAATTATTTGACTGTTTCCAGTTACTGCAATAAGCAAATCAAAACTGTGAAAAGCATAAAAACTATAATAGGGATAAAAAATTCGAAAACGTTGAAACTGACTTAAAATGCTAAAAAGTTGTAAAAATATACTGGAAGTGTATAGCATAATAGGGATATTGCCAGTTTTTCGAAGTTTATTATTATCATAATAATTTGACCCAGACCATTTTTGAAATGACCCAATTTAAAATGTCACGTGGGACATTTGACCCACTTTCCATAATTTCTAGATTGAACACTGGGGAAGACGAAAATTGACGGTTTGTAGACATCTTTGGGAGTAACTGAACTTCCTTTTCCCAGGAGAAGCAAATTACCATTGGTTGAACAGCAATTATCCTGTCATCATATCAACAACTCATCATGCTCGCGTCATGCAAGTAGAAGCGTTTTTCATTGCCTGGACGTGCTAACTGCGACACTTACTATAATTGTAACTTGCATAAAAAAATAGGATCCATTGAAAGCGCCGCCGACTTGTGAACTTGGGATGGAGTCATACTACAAGCTTGTGTTGACCATAATTATCTTTTGTATCGCAGTGTAGACTATGGAAAGCATGCTTGATGACTGTTTGGTACAATTTTCAAGCAAGTACGTGCTCAAGGAAGAGCAGCACCAGGCTGTTTTGGGTTTACTGGAGCAAAAGGATGTTGTGGCAGTTCTTCCCACGGGTTAAGCAGTTGTTCGCGGCAGTGAAACTAAAACAAAGAGAAAAGAATGCGGAATTGTAGTTACATCACTATTACGAAGTATTGACAATAATCAAGTTGAAGCAACGAGCGAAGCCGGCAATTCAGCAGTTGCATTACCTTGGCATGGAACCATGAGGTGATGCGGACATTCTGTTTTTTAAAAACCGAAAGCTATCATCGTCGTGCTGACTTTCTTGAAAGCTGGCTTTAATAAAAGAAAATCGAGCTCGGGTGCTTCTAACCTTATTACTTCAAGGTGAACAAACCCTGCTTGACTGATTTTCTGTTTGCAAAACGGTAAAACCAAGATCTCTTAAACCGTCCACCAACTTTCGTCTTGTAACACCTTGACGAACATGACTCTAAAAAAAAAATTCTCTGCTCTGTTAGCTTTATGGGATGATTGCCCAGTACTATTGACGTATACAAAGCACCCACGTATCCTACAATAATCCGATGTGTTTCGGCTTCGGACCTCTTATAGCCGCTTTTTTGGCGTAGAAGCAGTCTAAGGACGGTCTAAAGAGACATGCTTCAACAAACAGGACTCCAAGCGTCATTGTTGTTTGATTGTGAAATACTTAAGGCAATTACACAAGCAATTCCATTGGTTCAATTTAATTGGTAACGTGGAGGTGATAATGATAAGGCGTTGACATGGGGGAGGGACTTAATAAACCTCTTTTTTCCCAAAGATGTCTACAGATGTTCTTATTTTTCTTTCTCGCTCGCTGATGTTTTGAAAAGAACGAAAACAAAAATAAAACATCTGTGTACAGGCTAAGGGTACATTCCATTGAGAGGATCTGGATCAGGATTACTGATCTGTCGCGTTCCTTTCAAGCGAATCCATTTCCAGATCAGTGATCCATGGAATCCACTCTGGACAAGGATTCACCAGATCATTGATCTCAGCGATCTGACAGCAGATCATCGGATTCGTGATCCTCCGCGTTCCTTTGGATAACAGATCCAAAAAAAATCACTGTGCACAGCGGTTTTCTTGTGTATTCAAACGTATGCAGCACTTGCAGCGTGTTAAGGTGAGTATGTAGTCATAAAAACATTGCAGTTTCGCCTTATTTCCTGTCTGTATTGAATAAATTTATCATAAGATTGACAAAATTTTAGGGAAGTACATATTTTCGAAATGTTTTATGGATAGATTTTCGGTTTTAACTGCGTATTTAACGGATATATCTGAACTGTTTACTTTGGACAGGTGCCGCCATGACTGAATCTGTAAAGCTTTACCTTATGAATTAGCATTAATAACGCTGTTACAACAGAGGTGCAGTAAAAACGGTGTTCATCAATCACGCCCGAGTTATACGTGTTTGTTGGTTATAGAGATATTTTGAAAGTGCTCCCCTGCTGTGCGTTTAGGCTGTTTTTAGAACTTTCTTTAATAGGAGTTAAGCTTAGTATTAATTCCTTCCATTACTTGGCACAACTTATGCTAAATAGACCGGTAATGTATGTTTAACTGCTACAGTATGAGAGATGGACACACACAGCAAGAACTCTCTATCTCGTAAGACGTAAAGGTAGACCTTAGTACCTTCATCAGTGCTGATATTTATTTCAGGGAATTGGAGACCCGGACATCTCGTATTCAACACATATATATACCTTGATGATTTAAACGACAATTCATGGATATTCTTATGAACTTCAAGCTATTCTTTTCTACAGCCAGAAAGGGGTAAAAAATGTAAGTAGCGAGTAGTATGTATACAATTTATTATTAACTCTCACATGACTATCTTATTCTTGTTATAAGGTACAAATAGATTGTAAAATGGCACATCAGTGGAATTTACCTTTCCAGCAAAGTGACACCGGTGAACACGCGAGTCATGGCCTTTGTTCCTCCTACTGCTTCACCAGTTTACCTGCAATATACCAACCCTCTACCCATGCCTTGTATGTTATCAGCTAATAGCAGTGGTAGTCAAGAGCGAGTTGAAGCAGGTAAAGAAAAGAAAATGTGGAATAAAGACGAAGTTCTGTTTGATTGATATTTATGCAAAGAGGAAATTAAAAAGATTTTAAAAACCCACTAAACATGACTATGCTTTCATTCTTGGTCTTGAATTTTGCAAAATGTTTAAGCTTGTAACTATCTCTCCTGTATGCACACTTCAAAGTGTATCTTTGAAACCCAACCAAGTAGAGGCCGTTCACATTACTGATGAATCAGAAGTTGATTATCACAACCTTAAAACGAAGTGGAAGGAACATCTGCCTCTTGGTAGGAAAACAGGTGACCCTCTAAACGATTTGAAACAAATATTCCCAGAAACTTTTGACGGTCAAGTGGGTCTTTTTGAGGGTGAGGCTAGCCTCAAGGTCTCCCCTGATGCAAAACCAGTTCAGCTGCCCCTTCATGCTGTACCACAAAGCATTATGCCAGAACTTAAGAAGGAACTAGACAAGATGGAGCAAGAAGGAATCATCCGCCCCTGCCCAGAAACGACTGAATGTGTACACAATATAGTAACTGTCGTTAAGAAAGATGGATCTCTACCTAAACAAGTACCTGATCCGAAATGTTCACTACACTGCTTCGTGGGAGAATGCTCTTCACGGTTTCAAAAATGGCCAGTACTTCTCCACCCTTGACGCACAAAGTGGCTACTGGACTAAAAAACTTGATGAACAGAGTCAACTTCTCACTGCATTTAACACACCCTTTAAGAAATACTGCTTTGTGTGCTTACCCTTTGAGCTCTCACCGTCATCTGAAATCTTCTGTAAAGAAATGGATCAGGTTCTTCCTGGTGTCCCTGGCACATTTCCCTGTGCAGATGATGTTAAAGTGCAAGGATCCACAGAAGAACGTCACGACTTTCACCTGTTGGAAACGGTTGAGCGAGCATACCAAGCAGGGCTGAAATTTAACCCAAGTAAGTGCTGCATCAAGAAACAGGAAATTGAGTACTTTGGACGTATCATCACTCCACAGGGCGTAAAACCGTGTCCAAAGAAAGTCAAGAACATTGCAATGCTAGCTGCTCCTAAAGATAAGCAAGAGCTACAAAGCCTCCTTGGTACAGTGAATTTGATGTCAACATTTATCCCAAACCTGACCAAGAAAACGCATCTGCTGCGAAGCCTGCTAAAACATGACGTGCATTTCTTATGGACAAGCGATATGCAATAGGAACTAGACACCATCAAGAATGAGATTGCTAATGCTGTTCAGCTCACTCACTATGAACCCAATAAGTCAGCCGTTATTGAAACCAATGCATCTCTGAAAGGCCTTGGTGCCGTTCTTATCCAAGACAGCAAACCTGTACGTTTTCTCAGTAAGGCACTTACTCCTGCTGAAGCTAACTACTCCAGCATAGAATGGGAACTGTTGGCAATACTGTTTGCCTGCGAGAAACTGCACACATACACTTTTGGGCGGAAAACCACCGTACACACTGATCACAAACCCCTACAGAACATCCTTCTGAAACCAATTAGCCTCGCTCCCGCCAGATTGCAGAGGATGTTGTTACGTCTCTCCAAATACGACAACCAAGGGCTGTACGTTGGATCCAAGAGTGTTCTTCTTGCTGATACACTCTCTTGTCTTGTTGAACAAGGCAGTGCCAGAGAAATCCCTGGTTTAGACATCAGTATTGCACAAGTCCTGAAGGTGGAACCAACCCGACTCGAATCCTTGCAAGAGGATACAAAGCCGACCCCACTTTGGCTGAACTTACAGATCTAATCCTCACTGGTTGGCCCAATAGCATGTAGGATATACCAGAGCATCTGCATCCATACTAGTGTTTCCGTGATGAACTGACAATTCTTGACGGACTCATAATGAAAGGCAACAGAGTTGTTATTCCTACAAGTATGAGACCTGAAACTCTCAATCGCCTACACGACGCACACCAAGGTCTCCCTTCAATGCTTCAACGTGCAAGACGCACCGTCTATTGGCCAAAACTACAGCATGACATCAGACATGGTTCACAAGTGTGATGAATGCCAAAGGCAGGCAACAAGAAGCCCAGACCTCCAGAGAGACAGATCTCAGCAACACGTCCAATGGAAATCCTGTGCATTGATTTGGTTGACTTTCGAGGTAAACATGCCTTAGTGACAGTTGATTACTTCTCTGGCTTTCTCACCTATGACA